AAATCAACTGCAAATCAATGCAACAACGACCAAAATTAAATTGAATCTAACGAATACACACGAATAACGTACATAATTTGACAATATGAAGTCTTAACTACACGCACCGCATGTCAACTCAATCAAGCAAATTTCAAGTAATTTGGATGTTGTACATTTTATGAAATGAAAGAAGAGAAAAAAACAGACACATGACAGTGTAAGCAGCACTGAATCAGCGTAGCAAATAAATGCCATTAAAATGTTATATCGGTGCGACAACTGGGCATCAACTCAATAAATGCCATTCAAACACACATAAAATAATCAGCTAATTATTGTGATTGGTCTTGTTTATTACTCACAGGCAATAAGTATATATCGATTCGAGAATGAAAAACAAGAAAAAAAAATTACAACTGTTCACGTTCATGCTCTGACAAATTTATAGATGAACAAAGATAGAAAGAGAAACACAACCAATATATATATATATACGTGGCGCATGGAATTGTAATGTGTCATGCTATTTTAAGGAAACGATAGAAAAAATGCAAAAAAGCTGTAAAATTGAAAAAAAAAACCACACACTAATCACTTAATTCGTAGCCAGTATATCAATCGACATCACAATTTACCCAAATGCAAAAGCATTACAAGCACCTAAATATCATTCGGCCAGAATGAGTTAACACGAAATTAATCGCTCGCTGGCTGATTTGCCTTACATTTTCATTCAGCAAAGTCACACACAGCCAATATCAAGTTTCACAATTAACAGATAATGATATACTTCAAGCAAATATAGAATGATAGAAGCGAAAAAAAATAAATGTCAGAATTGCCAGGAATAAATAGTTTCGATGTTGTAGTAATTTTGTTGCGAACATTGTGTCAATAAAACAACAAAATAATCCGCTCGGGAAATACATTTGGTGTATCATGTTTGTTGTTTTTTTTCTCAGTCATGACTCGAAATTGTATTTGAAATGTGAAAAAAAACAAACCACACACTGGCTTTTATTATTAAAGTTATCGATTTTTTCGATTTTGCTATCTTCCAACTTGATACAACTGGAACGGGAAGCTTGAATTTTAAAACAGAAATAAAAAAATAATTCCGATGAATATCTCTCATGGGAGGACAATTAAAACAGCGTTCGCGATTTATAATTAGAATTTCAAATGAAAGAGCGAATATCATTCGACGCATGTAAATTAGATGATCGAAAATGGTAACAAGCGCCGAATAATTAAACCAATTTTTATTTTTTTAAGTATAAAATGTGATATTTGATACTTTGCCAGTGAATAATTGGAATAAGTTTCCTCGCTCTCCAGTGTTGTCGTTCACTCAGATCACCATGCAAAAGCCGATATTCTATTGTATTCAATGCTACTGCATGTTCGTATAGAAAATGCACAAAAACCAATTGACAAAGTTGAACCCTTTTTTTCACAAATACACTTTTGTCGGTCGCGAATCGATTGTTATTGTTGTTGTTCTTGTTTTTGTCATGTGGAGCGAATATTCGCTTTTCATTTATTATATCGGACTCATGGCAACGACAACGATGATTATTGCACCATGCATCTCACATTGACATTCATTGTACTGCAGTGCAAAAACGTGAATAACAACTGCATATTATGAATTTGTGTTACATCATATTCACTGTGTATATGTGTAAAAACGACAACGGAAATCGCAATAATGAGAGTTCGCTTTGAATTTCAATAGGGCCAAGTACAAAGCACTGGGTATATATGCTATGAATAAAAATGCATAGCATATCAGTAAGTTTCTATATGCTGCTAATTGGAAATGTTGCAATATATCCGAGCCATATTTTGTTCATGAATCTGCGCAAATAAATGTCAAACGTGCAATATCACCGATGAACTCTATTTGATAAACTGAACGTATTCAATGTAAGCTTTTGCAAGTTGCAACGCTTATGAAGAACGTACAGCTTTGTCTCGCATATTATTCGCGTGGAACAAAAAAATAATAATAATAAACGTTTTTTAGAGAGTGAGAGCTTATGAAATATTCCGAAATATTAATTACATATTCACGAAATGTTCTTTACGATACACATTATAGTGAGTTAAATTTTAGGCATTTTCCTTTGAACATGAATTCCATAATTTGTACTTCAAATCATTCAAATAAAATGCAAAACTTTACCATTTGTGCTGATGTACGGCATTTTTTAAGCAACTGAATTTTGTTGGCGACATGTTCGGTTTGTGATTGCGGTAGACAATAATCATCAAACAACTGCTGTTTCATCTGAATTGTGTGCAAAAATGCGATTTCAATGCAAATACATTGAACCGTATATGTGATTTGATTTGCACAAAACTGCATCGTTGCAAACTCATGCATTCCATATTGTTCAATCGGCCCTTGATTCCATACAATCATTTGTTAAATACAGTGCTTGAAAATGTTACATCATCATTGCTTAGGCTGATTTTGTGCGATTTAAACAGAGAGTGTGTGTGAGAGAGTTCAGCGTAAAAGCATTCATCTCTAGTTAAAACACATTTTCACCCGTATTTGAATTTGGTTTAGTAAAACGTTTTATATGACGACGATGGCGGCAGCAGTGGCATCGTTTTTTTTCGTATTTTGATTATGTGCGCCGTTGGTTTTCCAACTGTGAGTGTGTGTGTGGATTGTGGAAAAATCATTTCATTGCAATCGAAATCGCTTGAAAGTGTTCATTCGTTGTGTTTTTTTTTGCATTTCTCTGCATAAATTGCAACCATCATCAATCCAATTTATCCATACAGTGTTGTACGCGTTAGATACACATGAACAGAACATTGCTTGTTGTTGTTGTTTTTGTTATTTTTGCCCCTCAAACTGTTTGCAATCGTAAACAAAGAGTGTCACAAATGCGACCACCGCCATTCAATCGACAACGATTTTCATTCTTTCTCTGTGTAAATTCATTATTATTCCAAATGGAAATGAAAGCGCACAGACCTGCCACACAATATAGATTAATTAATGTTCAAACAAAACAGCGCGTGTGTTTGCTGGCGAACGTTGAATTGTGAGCACATTTTTGTGCATCGTATATAGAATCTGTGATGTTTCATCTCTGCGCATAAATTGCTTTCGTTTCAATAGCGCGTTTCTCAATTTTATGCAATTTTTTCGTTGTTTTCTTTCTTTTCCACTTTTGAAAATTCATTTGTGACAAACTTTTAATGACAAAAAATGAAATATATCTCATGTTTCAATTAAATCCAATTCCGAAGTATTAATTTATTCATTTACAATAACGCAATCGATGCATAAACTTAGAAAATGAAAATCGTTTTTGAAAGTAAAACATCTTTAAAACAAACCACATATTCAAATTTGGAAAATAGGAATTGTTAAATGTTTGTTTCAATGATTAACCAAAAATAATATTTGAATTGAATTTAAAGTGGAACGTGTATTTCGAATCGAATTGAATTTTCAAATGAAAATGGAATATTTTCAAAGCATCGACAAATGTTTAATATTTAATTTCATGAAATGCATTTATGTTTGAAATTTATGCAATTCCAACACGCAGTACAAATACAACTGTGAAATTTTCATTATTTTGGCGTTTAATTTGATGCGGTGTCTAACGACAGCTTCGGTTCAACCGGTTGGAATGATGGCTGGTGTCTGTCTTCATTTGCATACAAAAACTGTATACGTGAATATGTTATCATATGCAGTTCATCTGTTTGTTTGTTTCATCATTAAAATAAAAAAAACCGAAATATTGCACGTATTTTGAATTTAAAATTCATTTTCACACACGATTTTTTCCCAGATGCAATTAAATCGTGCAGCCTCGAAATATTTATGCAAATATACGTACATACATCGTTGTTATCGATTGCATCAGTATTATTATTTGTTTGGCGCAGCGTATAAAACCATAATTTTCAATTCATGAAAGTTTTAAATCAACTTTGACTGATTGATGCAAAACCTTCACTCGCATTCGGTCTACGAAATACAAAACAGAAGAACACTGCTAGTTTTTTTTTGCTGAAAAACTTGATTCGGCTCATTTGGAAAGTTTGCAAATTAACGTCAGGTAAAAAGGATTTTCCATGCTGTTAATTTCGTGCTGTATTTTCATCTCTCGTTGTACGCTTTTATTGGATTCATTTTTACCTTAGCGGAAAAAGATAGCTGAGATTTGCCCCACAAAAAAGGTACACTTTTGTTCTTACCCGAGAACTAGAGAGAGAGAGAGAGAGAGAGAGAGAGAGAGAGAGGGGGGGTTTCGAAGAGTGACTTTGGCATGTAGATATGTTCCATGGAAATTTAATGAGACCAATGATATGCAGGAGTTTGTTTTAACTTCTCTTTTAAAAAGTTTTTTTTAATTCTTTTGATGATAAATTAAAATATCAAACAATGTAAAAACTTTCAGTTTAAATTTACCTTGCGCGTGTGACAACAACATTACCCGTTCCAATTGCGTCCAATAAAACTCACATTTAAATTGGATTTTCCTTAATTTCTTCGTTGAGTCTCTCTTGAGAGCGAGCGAGCTAAATTAGATTTTCAACTGTATTTTCACTTGCCTCGTCACTTCTGTGTACGTCTTCATTTCTGGCCATTTACCCGCTATTTGCTTTGTTATTATAACTAAATTCTTTGCTATAAGACATTTTTCAACTCCCTTTAGGTATGGAAATTGATAGGTTTTTATAAACTTTGCTACTGTATACATCGCTGAGTTTCAATTAAAACGTTCATCATATGATAGATCTATCCATACATTTGTGTAATTAATAAATAAAATTCTATCTGAAAAACGGTGGAAACTTGTTTTTATTTTTGGAAATGAAAAATGATGGGAAATTGACTGCGGAGAGAATCAGAACAATGCAAATATACATATGTTAAAAATACAAAAGCAACATTATTATTATGAAATGAAAAAAAAATCACTCCCGGAAATGATGTGTGTAATTAATGAGTTTTTCGTTCTATTTTAATTTTTCAGAATCGACACATATGGTGTTTGATTCATCGCTGCTATCATAAAATCCAGCACCATTTCGTCGACTGCAATAAAACGAAGGCCGACGCTGCCTATCACGTCAGCTAGTGCCCCGCAGGTTTTGTCACCAAAACGACTGTGCGCTGCCACTGCACCCTATCAGACACAACAGGTATGCCTTTAAAACGATGATTTTTTTTCGTTGTTGTTGTAAAGAAAAATATTATGAAGAAGAAAAATGTAACACGCTCGATCGTAAAATGGATGAATTTATTTTTTGTTCGTTCTCTTCAATTGTGTAATATAGCATCATCAAGCCTTGTTGGCAGCTTATTCAATAGCTTCAGAAACGGCAACAATTAACCATCACGTTTCGCATTTACCGGCTGCAGTAGCTGCTGCACATTTACAACATCAACAATTGCAACATCATTTAAATAAACAACAACAAGTGCAATCACATCATCAAGCCTTATTGGCCGCTAATCCAATCGCTGGGAATCCATCTGCTGCACTTGCAGTTATCGCTGCCGCAAAAAACGTTAATAGTCAACCACAACAGGTAATTGGAAATGGGCAAAAATGCCACGTAATTAGAAATGAGCGACCATGACAGAGAGAGCAATATCATACAAACACAATTACAAATCGTATAAAAATGCCAGAAAATGCAAACAAGAGAGAAAAAAAGAAACATGAGAAAAAAAACAGGACATGCACATTACAAAGTAAATTTTGATTGGCCTCCGGAGAAATGAGTTTTTGAATGCATTTTTTTCGGACTTAAAGTCAAATTTTTTTTTTAACGACATTTTACTTTCATTCTTGCGCGCATAGATGCGAAATGAATTGTTTATTTCAATCTATTTTCCAAGTTTGTATTTTTGCCCGTCATTGTTGCATTCTATTTTCCACAATTGTAGAAACTTTGCTCAGAAAAAAAAATTGTATTTCAAAGCAAAATGTTTAAAATGGCAAACTTTTTGAATGAATTTTATTCATTTCGTTTCACAATAGCAACAACAACAGAACGATCCAAATTCATTGATAACATCACAACCGAATCTAAGTACACAAGTGTCTACATCAACAACAACTGGTTAGTGTTAATCCATTCACAATATTCAATGAGCGCCACAGCTTCCAATGTCGTATCATAAACTGAATCGGACGCAACTTAAAAATCCGTTTCACTTTTATTCTTCCAGTATCAACGAACACCATGGACAATTCTATGGGTCAAATTGTACCGATGACATCATTGGCATTATCACAAAGCATGGATTCAGTCAATACAGCTACGAACGAAGAAGAGGTATGTACAAATTATGTTTTCAATTCGGAACGCAAGAATTTAATCTTTCATGAAGAAAACACCGAGTGCAAAAGACAAAATAGAAATCATTTCATAAGCACAATACGAATGTGCTGCAAATGAGTGTCATCAAGACAGAAAAATCGTCTGTTAAGTATCAAATTATCTCTGATAAAAAGAAACACGAATAGAAGTGAATAGACAAAAAAAAAATAACACAACTTTTGTAGTTTTCACATCAATTTATCATCTCTTTTTTTCTCATCATTTGATTCGGTGTGCTGTGGGCAACTACAAAAGCACACACTCAATGCGACTATGAACAATATGTGCTCAAAAAGGAATTGAAGCGCGCCCGCCCGCCCCATTGAAACAATGAAGGAAAAAAAAATAGAAGAAATCTTTTGAACGTGTGCAAACGGATTTCAATTCACTTCTCTCTCGCACATTTGTTTGTTTTTATTAATTAAAAGTTTTCTATTTGTTTTGTTTTGTAACGCGCGGTATCAGCTGCACCAATTGTATCACTTTATCATCAGATAAACTTTAATAAAAGTGTGTGTGTGTATGAGTGGGAGTGAGACAATGGCATGAGTAAGAGCGAGCGAGAACGAATGAAGGGGAACAAAGAATGAAAATTCTACGACAAAATGTTTTCTTTGGCCGGATTTTCGATATCAGATTTACAGTGATTCAACTTTCCGACAAGCCAATAAGAAACGGAACTTGTATGGCAAACAACTGCCATTAAATCCGTATCACACCAACAACAAAAAATTTCAATTTCTTTTCTTTTGTCTAACTTTACTCTCATTCTCTCTCGCTCTCGCTCTCTCATTCACTAAAAGTTTAATTGTAGTACTTTTTCTACAGAAGTATCAAACGAATTTACACTTAAATTAGAGCATGAAATAACGGAGAAAATTTTACTTGCTAAAAGCAATTAAGACGCATAAGAGCGAGCTCTTTTATTGCGGCGAACAGAGAAAAGAGATAGAGATTTTTGGTATTTGTGTTGCATTTCTTCTAATTCAAATAAAATTCTAATTAAGTTCAAACATATTTCTAGAGATGTTGTTGAATTTTCTATCATTTTGTGTACGCTTGTGACGTGATTACAGAAAATGCATTGTACTTTGAATACTGTATTTGCCAAACATAAGGGATTGTCTCTGTACTGTAGATATTCAAAGATGCTACGACAATTTCGAATTGAGTAAAAAAAAAATTATAATGGCAAAAAAGAGAGTAAGCAGTCTCGTGAATATTGTAGAAGTTTGTCCATCTTCTTCAAGAAATATAACCATTCTTTCTTACATTTTACATCCAGAAAGATGTAATTCTTTGTTCCGTCTTTTGTTTTTTAAACACAAAAACAGACAAAAACAAGTGCATTTTGAATGAAAACAAAACACACAGTGCAAAAAAACACAAGAGAAGAATAAATAGAAGTGCAAAACTTGTGATATGATATTGTGGTGTGTTTCATGACTAATGAGGGTTCGTCCGAATATGAAAAAGAACAAAACGGAGACAAAAGGAATGAAAGAGGAAGTTTCCGGGCATTCCGTTCGACAGGCATGTTTCGTAAAATATGGTTGGTTGAGTTGTGATGAGATTGCGTTGCGAGTGTTTGTACATATGCGTAGATACCGTGCGTATGTGTCTTATTTATGTGAATCGAAAGAGATAGAGAGAGAGTTTGCCAAACACAACAAATCGCCTAAACGAATGCAATCATCCGTTCAATAGATTGCGCACATTGCACACATACTGATGCCATTGACAAATGATGCAGTGACAACAATGCGAGGAACGCAAATGATGCTGGCGGCTGATATAAATAACCTTTTGCAATATCAATGTATATACATACGAAACAATGGAGGATCAAGTGTGTTTATTTTGTCTCAGTGGCGCATACAATGCATCGCCCACTGAATAAATGAATGAATATTTGCCTATTAAGCTTCCATTTAAAGTATTTGAATGCGAGATAACAATGATAACACAGAAAGAGAGACATACAAAAAATGAACGAACCGGTATCTCAATTTTATCCTATATGTTGCTATTGAAATGGAATCTATCCTCGGGTCGACTACGTGCATGCTTCAACAGACAGTAAAGTACTCAATTATAAAGCACGTCATTGCGTCATCAGTTCATAAAAATTTAATTGCAATTAAAGTTAAAATGCAGTCAAAGACAAAATTTAGAACGATATAATAAGTAGAAAAATACGTTTTGTGTTTGACTGTGGCTAGAAGCCAAGGGAAAAGAAGGAATAAGAGAATGAAATTGTCCTTTAACCTTTTTTTCTCTCTCTCTCTCTCCATCGATTCCAGTTGAATGTGACGCAAATTCACTTGACAAAACTCTGTGCACGAGCATAAAAAACCCACTTTTTAAAACTCATTGAGTTTTCATCACATTGGCTGTATCGAATGCTCAAGTACATCGAAACAAAGCAACACAATGTGATCCCTCTCTGTTTCTTTCACTCTTTGAATCATATTCGATGCACTGCAATTCCAATGAAAGCCGTTCGTTTTTTCGAACTGTCGTGTCGTCATTGTCGCGATGTCAGTTTGAGAGTGATGAACTTATAAAGCCATTGATGCTCGGTTAAGCTGTAATATATGGGCTTTTATCGATTTTGAGTTGTCAACGGACGAATGCATCTATGTCTATCGTCTGCAATTCTGTACATAAATTTACTATCTCGCGACAGGAGAAAAAAACACACACAGATTTGCCGTTTTTCATGTCGATTGCAAGGAATTTTTTTCCTATTGTATTCACCTGTCATACCACATGCATAGATTTTCCGATTGGCTTCATTTGTTGTCGTTACATGGTATCGGCGTAAACAATTTCAATAAAATAAAGTGAATACATTCATTTCACTCGGCAATCATTCTCGACATCACTTTTTTTCTGCATCGATTTTATGATAATAGGAAAAATAGTCGTCGGTGAATCCACCAGAAAATTGCCAAATGAAACTCGAATACAAATACACGCACACTGAGATTGAAATAAAATGCGGGTGCATAACAAATATAAATGAAATGTCCTTTTATGTGTGCTGTCATTAACAATCAGCCAATAATCTGTGGTTCAGACACACGCAGGACACTATTGTATGCCATGCATAAAGAAATCAAAGTGAATTCGTTAATTTGGATTTATGCATTGAAATTTGCGTATGTACCTGTACATGTTAACCTGGAACCAGAATCAACTGTCGCAGATTTTCATCAAAAAGCGGTTAGTACACATAGCCAATCGAAAAATGAAAGTCATGCGCAAAACTATTTCATGTTTTTTTTATTTCACCATATGTTTTGATGTGCACCAATTCATGGGCGCATAAACCGATTTCGTTTTTATTGTACAGCTATTAAAGAGAAATTCAAGCACAATCAAAACACATTCAAACTATTATTTCAATAAAAAAAAAATAAATCCCCATGTAATAAAACACAGAAGAAGAGTAATAATCAACTGTCAAAGTAGTAGCTATTTTTGACGATCCGTTGAAAAATTGGCGCCGCACAATTACACCAGCACGCGTGCAAAAAATATTTTCTCGCGCACTTTGTCACGACCAATTAAACCGCTTGTTTTTCGTTTGATGCAGAATACTTGCATCAAATAAACTGGCATTGGATCAAACACAAAAGCATTTCCTAAATTAAATGCCCGTGCAAATCGACCAAATTATATTAATAACAACTAGTTAACGAAAAGAAAAAAAAAAGTATGTAACCGTGTTCTGTTCACAGCAGCTTAAATATCAAACAATATGTGCTTTTTATAACAATGATGGAGGCCTACCGCATGTGTCAATTTCGAAATTGGCCTAGTTCTTGATGTGTATATCCGCTTTCTACAAAAAACGAGCACCAAATTTCAAATTCAGTGTAGCAAATGCAATGACCAAGCCAAATTATGTACTACAAATACACTGATTTCATAGCCTCAAACTAAATTTGCTGTTTATATTTCGCTGATGCTTTTGAGCCTGCCAATTCACATTTACTGAAACATGGAATCCCGATTCGAATGCGAAATTGCAATATGAGGTGAACTCAACGATTTTAAAAACGGAAAAATTTACACTCATTTCACTCGTAGAAGTCAATAAACAGAATCGAACAAATGAAAAGAATTTTCGAATTTTATTTGGCAAGCATGTATGCAAACATTGATTCATTTGGAGTTCCTTTTCTCTTCTGTGCCACCCCGTCGGTGCCAACACACAGTGAAAAAAGTTACACAAATTGTTAGTTCATTTCATAATTTGTTTTGTTTTGTATGATTTTGTACTGCGGAATCGCTTCCAGCTATTATTACAGATTTCACGGAATACATGCCAGAGAGGAACAGAAATAAAACACATTCGAGGCGCAGAGCATAAAATCCATAAACATTTCTGAATACAAACAAAACTGGCCGAGAAAAAACACACATAATATATACCGAAAGCACAACCCCCTTTTTTGCAAAACAGTATCACACAGTGAATTTGTTTGTTTTTCATTCACTGCCATTTCTCTCTCTCTCCCTCTCTCTCTCTCTCTCTTCTGACATTTGTTGGCCAATAATACAGATTTACAGTGAGCAACAAAACACCGACCAACTGAATTTCAGGTTTTGCATTTGCCATGGCATGCCAGAGATATTTGCAATGCGAGAACATTCATCTACTGCTCACAATAGATCATATATGTGCTTTTCCTTAAATCAAACAAAATGTTCCAAATAACACATATATAAACATAACCAGTGCCGCTCTATGATTTTTTCGTCCATGTATTCGTGTTGTATGTTTCAGTTTAAATAAAAAAAAAGCGCGAACAAAACTGGCCGAACCAAAAACCGCAATGGATAATGAAATAAAGCACAAGTAATTTATACTTTGAGTGTGTTATAACTTGAAATATGAAATATTTTTTTTGTAAAATGTTGCTTTTTTGTATTAAGTTGAATCG